AATATAAATCAAATGACAGAACATGATGAACTTAATTATTAATAGATAGAACCTTTTACATTCACAAAATATTTATCCCCAAACTTATATACTGTTCTGTTCTTAGGAATCGAAAAATTGATCTTCTCTAGGCATTACTTGGCCGATTTGAAAATGATGCACTTGAATTCAGAGAACAATCGATTGGTATATTTATACTTTGGTGGTACACAATTTCTAAGAAAGGGGCACGGTTAGTCGCCTCTGTCCTCAACACCAGTATCGAAGAATTGAAAATATCATAAAAGCTAAAAAATTACAGAAAATAGTAAAAATACTAAGGTTTTGAAGACGAAGAAAGCTATTGTGAGAGTACTATTAGATGTACACGAGTGGAGAGCAAACAAAATTCTATTGAATTCACTTCAAACAAACTTTTATATAGGTTGGTTTGGATACATAGTGAATATTAATATTTGATCATACTGTCCTCAATTGCTATAATATTCTTAAATTGGTATATGACTTTTCAGAACACTAAAACTTGATGAAGATTCAATTTCCTACATATCATTTGATGCGTCACGAGTTGTTCTACAAAGCTCTATAATTGACTTTTCAAACGAAGTATGGTCATCTTATTCGACACAGTTTTTTGTCAAAAAAAAAAGTCTAATAACATACAATTGCCAAGAACAGCTAAACTCATTCGATTTGATGAATATTGAGCTTTATAAAAATCTAGAAGTACTTCTCGAATATCAATTCCACGTTGTTTAGGCGTTATTCTTAATGATTCTGTATTGCCACTAGGAAATTCTGAATATGGATGTTCTGAATCTGATGTGGATTTTTCTAATTGAGTTATACGTCGTACATCTTTAAATAAATTTCCCTCATATTCAGAATTGACTGCTTCTAATTCACGATCAGTAGATGATGCAGTAAATAATGGTGAAAATAAAAAATTGAGCAAAACTAAATCAAAGAAAAAATATTCATTCATTTCATTAACAAAAAGAAAACAAAGAATACAACTTACATATCAAGTGCATCTGGTAATAAACTTGGATTAATATCAAAATAATAATTTGTATGATCACTACAAGTAAATGCATTTGAGGAACCACCATTACCTTCTATGAGTTTTTTATATTCATTTTCACCTGGATACTAACAACAATAACAACAAAACAGACAAATACACAAAACAATTTTAAATATTGATGAATGTAAACAAAGATCTACTTTCGTACTACCTATAAATAGCATATGTTCAAGAAAATGTGCAATACCAGGAACATCTCGTGGATTAGCTAAACTACCAATTGAAACATCGAGTGCAGCAGCAGCTTTATCAATATTTGGATGACTTATAAGTACAATAAGCATTTCATTTGAAAGTTGTAAGCCACGATAATCCCATGGATCACATTCACTTTTTTTTTATGTCATCAATAATACGAATTATTGTTGAATCTGATGAAGAAATTTGTTTTTCGGAATCGATTGCTATAAAATAAATTTTTCAAATGAATAGACAACGTATATCGGCGAGAAAGATATAGAAAGAAACTGAATAAGTGACAAAAACAAAACAATAATAATATTCAATGAATATTTTAAGTATTAAACTAACTTTTAATAGCTTTGAAGAATGACACAGTAGTGCTATAATCTATATCTTATGTATTTGTATAGAGTGTGTTGATGCATAACACATTGAATGTAATACCTGTTACTTATTGGATGTAGGATGATCAGCTTAGTGTACAATCATATATCGACATATTTATTGTTGACATTACAATATGTCTATATATTCAAAGAAAA